TTAGTTAGATGTACTGAATAATATTTTTCGTAAGTCAAATATATGACGCGAGAGTCTGGAACTTAGGTTCACATCAGTTACTTCATTATGTACTCGTTCAAAGTAGACAGAACAAACATTTTCAAAATCTGTAAACGGCTTTTTTGAACATCATTATTTCTTGGAGTGATGATAAGCCACGAACACACAGTGCTTCTCTGATTTATTTATTGGCACTAACATTCAAGTTTATTTCTGAGCGAGTTCATATCCGACAAGTAGTTGAACTGGCTTTCACCTGGCTGCTTTCCGCATCACCGGTTTAACTCCCTTTGTTGTTATGATTTAGAAATACAGCACAAACGGATGTAATAAACATTAGCTACACATTTTTGTTCACAGACATCATCTAACATAATTGACCAGAGTGATTTGACTGGTCGCTTTGAGAAATGATACGTTTGTGTAGCATCATTGTCTCACATGCTAATATCTTGTCGATGAATGATTCATCGCATTTTTCACCTATAATCAAGCCACTGCGATCAGTCTTCTAAAGACAAATGCATCTAGTTAGCTTGATGAATAGTTCATCCAATGGCAAGTGATTATTTGACTCTACAATACCATATGCGAAACCCCTGTCGTCAACTCTACAAAATAAAAGACGTCAATCGAAACTTCAACACGAACATAATGTAGGCACAAAGCCTTGTTATCTTTGACAATACGTCTTTTAAATTCAGAAAACCCCTTATTTGGCACGTTACTCTCTATTTTGAGATGAAAGCTCCAAATATAATGGTCTTGAAATGATTCGAGTAGGTCAGGCTGGAACAACACTGTTCCAAAACCCTACAAAAAATCGTCTGAATCAACGTTGACTAAGTTGGGAGACATATTTGGTTTACCTGCGAAGATTGTTTCGCTAACAGTCGGGTTCCTAATACCGGTTTCCTTAACAAGTCTGAACAATAGTCTGCTATTAGCTATTACCGCCGCCTTTTCCATCTCCCTTGCTTTCGCTACCCTCCACTGTTGAGATCATTGCGTAGGCTTCTGATCAGCTTGAGCATTAAAGTCACCAGCCTCTATCACTACATCATAACGCCTAGCTTTTCATAGAAGGTCGGAAAGCTTTCCGTAAAATTCATCTTTAATACTATCTGAGCTGCAGTCAGTGAGAGAATTGACAGAGACCACGAAGAGGCAACGACGAGTGTCCCTATCTTTCCGAGTCCTTACTGTTCCGTTTAGTCGGATAGCGCACAAACGACTGTCTACTGGGATCCAGTCTGAGAGAGCTAGTTCTGCCCTAGGACTCAATGCTATACCTACGCCGGCGAGGCCACAAGAAGCAGCATCTGGGCTTCGAGATACACGAAGTGTGAGTCGAGTTGGTTCTTTATTTTGACATGATGGGGTCAAATGAATGACGCTACTCGGATCCTGTATCCGCGTTTTGGAAACGCAGCACACATCGATGGCGCGAGATTCTAGAGTCCTAGCTAAGGAAGCCTGTTGTCCTATTTGGCTCAGTGTTCGGACGATAAAAGCTCCTACCTGTAGTTTAGAGCGTGGTTTCAGGATACCAGGAATAACGTACCGCGTACTCGAATCGTTTGCACTAGCGGTGCGAGGTAATAAAGAGACGTGAGGAGGGTTAGTCGTGGAGATAAGAGAGGTATTTGAAGGTGTAGGAAGGATTTGAATGTGACCAACTTGGTCTCGTGCTGTTACGGGTATGAGGGCTAATGTCACTTCCCGGCTGCCCACACCATGGAAGGGTATTTCTTAAGGAACCTGAAAAGGAAGTGTGATTAATATCGGTCTTAACGTCCTGGGGGCGTGACCGCAGAGCCCAAGGGACAGCTGTTTGAGGCCGGTCGCGCACAGCCTTTCGATGGGAGGTTTTTAATGTGTTAGCTCCGTTCTTCGAAGGGCCTTTCCGCCGGAGACGGAAATCCGTGAGGTAAGGAGAGGTGACATTTTTACGGTCGACCTTTTGTGACCCCTTTCTTCCTTGTGAGAAGGCAGCATCACTGCAGATGCTGGTTGCCCAAGGGAAACACTATTGCTGTCACACCCCTCTACAGTCAGCAGTACGACTTCGCCCCCAGAACTTGAGTTGCTGCTTTTAGTCTTACTGTTCTCCAATCGACCTGCCTGGTATGGTAGAACCTGCAGGAACATCTGTTCCAGCCAATATAGGTCGGTTGAGTCATCAAGATAGGTAAGCCCGACCACCACGTCAAGGTAGTAGCTGCGGTTAGGCGTGCATTGATTACAGTGTAAAAGTTAAAGTTTAATTATGAATCATAAGTTTATTGGCACAACTATAAAACAAAAAAATAAAAGGAAGGAAAACCATTGAAAAATTTCCTTTTGTTCGAGAGATGACGAGAATTCAGTGGATTCAAACCGGTGAATACATACCCAACTTTGTATTGAAGTAAAGTCTAGACAAGCGATGCTCTGTCATAATAGCTCTATGAAAAGCATAAATGAAGAGGATAAATAAGAGTCAGTTTAACACTGGTTATAAAATGATAATTAATTTAGCATAAAAAATTAATAATAGTAAATTAGCAAAGCATTTCTCGGCTTGTTTTGCTTCTTAACAAATCAGGGTGATAAAAAATGTCTACAGGATGAAATAAATGTAAAGGGGGAAACGAAGATTGAATCTGACTGTAACGATGAAACTGAACTGGAATGGTGTGGTTCACGTAACTGGATATTGTTTGGTGTCATCTAATACAGATCACAAGTCAAAAGACAATTAGAGGAGTGAAATATTTGTTGTAACTGACTGGAACGGTTTATATTTTTTAACTAAATCTCTAATAAGAATTCGTAATAAATTTATTAATAGATTATTTGACTTTTAGACTGGTATTAATCACACAACAATTTGTAAAGACGAAATACCAAACAGCTATTCTGTCTAGCTATATGCAGTCATGAAACCCTTTTGTAACTGAAGTAAGCAGCATTTTTAACGTCATTTTACTCTGGATCACAATGATGAACCAGATTTTCTCCTGATAAACATCAATAATAGACTTCGACAAAAAATGTTATGTGATGATTGTACGATTTCTATACACTTGCATATCAGAATTTTTAATAAAAGTCATTCAATCTATTGATTTCGTAAATGTATGTGTAAAACGTTAGATAAAAATTCCCAACCGGCGAAGACAGGAAGTAGATGAAGTAGATAGTAAACGCATGTTAGCATTAACTGAGTCGTTTTTATAGAAGTGACATATATGTTTTCAAGTTCAACAACCTTAGCTTATAAATTATTCCAATAAAAGGCTACAAAATCATCTCATCTACATACCGTATACAGCTACGATTGTTGTCAACCACTTCACATTATCTATGCTGAATATGTTGTCTCTAATTTTAAATAAAAAAATTAAACGACAGTAATGCAGTTATGCGTACCGATTTTCTCTCCATGATATAAAGTCATTAATAAAAAATAGCAAAATGCACCAGATAAGACCAAATGCCGATATGAATGGAGATAAAATGTGCCAGCTTGTTAATCTTAAAGAAGAATTAACGACGCACAGGCGAATGATCATATAAACCGAATGAAGAATGCATCTGAAGGAAAAAAACAACAAGAAAAAAGCACTTGTATTAAAACATAAAGCCTTTTAACTAAGTTCGACAAATAAAATGAAGAACGAATAAAACATGTATGCAATCCAAACACATGTTAAAGATGAGTAGTTGTTTTATCATTCTAGAATTTCCGTAATGTAATTAATGTGAAAATAGTGCGACATAAGAAGTATTTGTGATGCTACTTTGTTGAAGGCTTTCGAAAGAAGTCTGTAAACCATATAGATCGAATCGACTAAACAGCACAGTTGTAACGAGAAATAGATCCAGTGCTTGCAGCCGATCACGTCCAGTCGCTAAACATAAAAACCTAGTGCGAACGATGAGGTGTCACTTAAACTACTAGTGACATTGCAGCTTATCGATAGAACCAAGGGTTAGAAATGAGCATGAGAATGTTTATTACTCAGCGACCATCCAGGACGAAAGAAGAGATGTGTTTATTTCTATTGTTTTTATGGTGTGAAAGGATTTTTTACAAATAGATAAAAAAGACAGAGATTTGGCTAAATAACAATGTTAACATACTATAAAATAAGTAAGGCTCTTAATATAAGCAGGAAACTTAATAAATATGCTTTATTATATTTAAAAATTGCTAGAATTTTTATGAACTAGTTATTTTTATTACCAGAATCTGAGCCAATTAGAAAAAAATTGGTCTTTATGCTTACATAATTTCATTATGCTTATACAGACAAGATAAGAATTTAAAGTACAGTGGAGGTTTCACATAAGACTATAAAGGAACTGGTGAATGAACTGTTTACATTTATGATATTTAACTACTGAGAATAAACTTTCGATTAAGTTTTAAGGCTTCATTGTTTGACCTCATTATCTTCAAGTTACCTGATTGTCATCTTTTGGATCGAAAAACACAAACGACGTTTGTTTGTTGTGTATAGCTATAATACAAAGGAAATGTACTATAACTAACGGCCGAGAAGTGCGATATATAAATAGTTTGAGTTCTCCATCATGATAAAACTACAATCAGTGTGTATGATGACCAAAGAATTAACTGGTTACCACCAAATCTGTGTTCAAATGAACAGACAAAATAATAGCTGATATATGAACGAATATCATTGTCCGCTAGGTTAAAGAATTTCCACAACTTTAGAAGCATAAACATAGTTACGATTCAACATTTTTGGGTTCAGGGTAACAGAATGGGAAAACTGGGTAAAAAAAGCAAGATATTGGATCAAAAGTCTTTTGCCTGGAAGTCCTCCCAGTACTCAGAAACGTTGAAAAAAGATGCAAAAAATGAACAGAAAGAGTCATTTAATCATAAGTAACCCACATTAGACTAGAGACAATGCACCAAGAAGGATTTGTAGAATACCGGAATTTCCATACTCTTTGACCATAATTTGCATAAGAAAATGATATAACAACTGGAAACAAATAAAAAAGCGAATTAAGCAAATGGCTTTTTACAATGACTAGATGTAATTAATAAGCAAAGAATAGTGAGAGGAATGAATTGAGGACTACCTCATTGATTCAGAACGTAATATACATTTTCTATATTACTAAAATCAACCAACCATGTGTAATTTAGATGGTTAGAAATAAACTATATATAACATTTACATTAAGGTGCGTTAATATTACATAACCTGGTAGCTCAGTGATAGACAAAGTGGTCTTTTTATCTCCAAACTGCATAGATGTATCTTACAAATACTGTAAGCACCATGTCTAACTACAGTGTTGAACAATGAAAGAAGCAGCATGGATCGGCTCAAGTCGTTATCATTATTATATTATTAGTACATTAAGGTAATGAGTATCAACTATTGATAGGTGAGTTAAGGAATGCTCTTAACTCGTTTTAAATTAATGAACAACATAGACTAGTGCTTATGTGAAATATAAGACTTGGGTCACGTTTCCTACAAATGTGCAATATATATTTTATTAAACACTAACAACTATGCTACATGTTTCGATAAACGGATTTCAATCAGTAACACACTAACTGACTCGTGAATTCAAAATATAAATAACCTTTTAACTGAGTTTGCACACATACAAATTATTATGATGGCTAAAATGACCAAAAGACGACTACTAGGATTGTTCAAGTGACCAAGCAGATGTTTTTCTGACAGACACAACCATTAAATTCCATTTAAATAGACATCACAAAACAGAAACGACTAATCAACGGGTTGAATTTGTTAGAGAATGTAACTTAAATACAGCATATTCACCAGAGATAATATGACTATGACTTAGCAAAAGATAACCACTAATTAAAAATGATCATAAAGTAATCAATGAGACTATACTTTTACCCATAGTATCACACATACGCATTTTTGAAGATCAGTAGTGAATTAAAGAAAAAACCGAACTTAAAACCAGAGTATATAGGTTAAACACCTTTCATAATAGCTGTCTATGACAATATTGTCTACAAAATATTCATGTGCTACATTGCAGCTATTTACGATGACATAATTAGTAACAATGGTAATACGATGCATATACATGTTATTGGAAAAAATATCATAAAATTAAAAAACAACTAAATCCACTTCACATACTTAGGTACATGATTAGCTGATAGAAGATTAAATCCTTTAAACTGTATATTAATATAGACAATTTGGATAGACATGATTCTTGAAGGGCATAAGATGATCTGAGAAAAGGATAAAAATATATATATATATAACTAGTCAGTGATGTTCTTTTCTTAATGAACTGACCTAGTATTACTTGAAATTGATTATTGTTCAGGATTTTAAAGTTTAAATTTATTTGATAATCATATCAACATTAAATTTTCGTTAAACATCTTCAAGGGAAAAATTACTACTTTTTAAGAAGAAAGCAGGAAATTGGGGTTGTGTGTGAGAGAGAGAGAGAGAGAACAGCTTGATATTAGAGTACTGAATTCAATGAACATGGCCATACAGCACAAAAAAGATAGGCTTCTGCAAACAACTTAAAATAGTAATTACTTTTCTGTTTTTAATTGCTGAAGTTATACTATATTGACAAGCATATAGGGTTTCACAGAGAAACTTTTCAGCAATTGTATAAACTTTAGAAAGTAGTACCAATTATCAGTTGTTCAATATAAATCTTGAAGAGGCTATCTTTATTGAAAAGTTAGAAAGTATTTTAATTGATCAAGAATCTATTGTGCCGCCATAAAGTAGAAACAATACTCTGTGAATGTGAGGACAAGTCGTATGCTTAGTTCGTCCGATAAAATTATGTTGGTTACACAATTAAGCGAAAACTGGTTCCTTTTTGATTGCTCGGGGTTAACTTTCATGAGGACCAAGTTATTAGTGATCCATTGAATAGGAGACAACTCAGTGATAAAAAATGTGTGGACATATTTAGATATGATTATCAGGTTATTGGGCAACGATATTTTGTTAACTCACCGATTTGTACAAATGCAGATAAGACGAATGCTATGTTAATTTTTTTAAATAAACTATTTATGACATTACAAAAGACCTAGAAAAAGGTTTATCTGTTCTCATAAGTTCCTCTTCGTGGAACATACTTACATTTAGGATTGAAACATCGATTATAAACATTTTGCAAATCATGCTAAAATATTATCGACATCTAGAGCTGATTGAATGTTAGAAGTTAATTTTTGATTCAAATAATATTTATGTTAAATTAATAAAGTGAGACCAAAAAAATTAAAGTCATCCTACGATTATCACAGTTTCGATAACAGTTTAATTCTAGTGATTTGTTTTTATGGGACTGTACGCGTAGTTAAGAAAGTGTCTTGTATGAGGAAAGAATTAAATACATGAAACTGTTTGGTAACTGCATATTGAGTAGTTTTAGAACGTTCGGTTACAAGTCTAGAATCGTTCATTTTCTGACCAGCTCTAATGGATGATCAGTTTAACTGAAATAAACAAGCATGAAATGGTGTAACATATTTTAAAAAATAATGATAATAGATCGAACAATATAAAATACATAATTTCAACTTACGATAGTGTTTTAGCATATGCCTTGGGATCCTTAATTAGGGGATTTGTTCCATTAAACTTATTTGTATAAATACTGTGAAATGATTGGTGACAATCTTCAAGCTGTTGAGCCCATAAAAGATGACCAATTTCGCAAAATAGACAAATTAACAGTGACGGTATGAAACGAGAACAAGTCACTAAAGTAAAGCGTAAGCATCTCTAAATTTACAAAACACGCAAACAGATGAAAAAAATTCATGTATGAATAAAAGAAACAGATTAAGAGAAATAATTGGAAAAATACACGACAATTAATAACTGAACAGGTTATTACTGGGATGTTTGCCAAATCAAATCTACTTGATGATATAAACTATGTGGTACCTTATGGATAGAATGACAATTGATGTCTAGTTTATATTAATGATATGTCTTTGCATATGGTGTCTCTGTCAGTTACTAACCAAATAAATAAAAACATTCTGTTGTGTTAGCCTGAATAGATATAAATTTCCATATACTGACTTATTTAAAAGAACATTTAGTCAGAATGCAGCATATAAGACTTAATATTTCTAAAGTAAAGAAAATTTGCGAACGTTTTGAATTGATAAATAAGAACATTCGTCTAAATTTGAACGAATAGTTTCACAATATTTGGGCGCCGAGTTAATTTGAGATCTTACAAATGTATTCTTCTTTTTAATGTTTTGAATTAATGCCTGAAAAATGTCAAAAATACAATATACAGAATTGTGTAGGCAGTTTGAATAGACTTGAGACTTATTTTTATCGACGTGATTACTAGCTACCAACAAAGATGCAAGACTATTGTGAATAGAGGCAAATGAAAATGTAGACGTAATGAGTGAGTGAAATGTGAAGATAGTTAATAGTAAAATTATGAAGATCTAAGCGTTGCAATCATATGTACTAAATGATATGATATAAAAGAAGCTTATTTCAAAGACAAAATTAATTGAAAATAACTCTCTCTCCCGACCGTTGTTGCTACATTGACGTGGTGGTCGGGCTTGCCTATCGTGATGAAGGAACCGAGCTATACTGGCAGGAACAACCGTTCCTCAAGGTCCTACCATACCATACAGGTTGGTTGAAGAACGGTAAGACTAAAAGCAGCAAACCCAAGGTCCGAAGGCGAAGTCGTACTGCTGACTGTACAGAGGTGTGACAGCAGTAAGGTGTTTCCTTCAGACAACCAGCATGACAGCGATGCTGCCTTCCCACAAGGAGGAGTGGGGTTAGAAAAGGTCGACCCTAAAAATGCACACCTCGCCTTATCCCACGGATATCCGTCTCCGGCGGTAAGGTCTCAACAAGTACGGCGCTAACACAAAAATTACCTATACAAAGGTCATGCGTGACCGACGTCAAGCAGTTGTCCCTTGGGCACGGCGGTCACGCTCCCAGGTCCTTAACACCACCTCTAATCCAATTTCGTTTTCAGGTACCTCCAGAAGAACCCTTCCACGGTGTGGGCAACCGGGAAGTGATAACCGCCCTCATACCTCTAACAGTACTCAAGATAACTGTATTCATAATCAAACTCCATCTTCAATTCCTATTATTCCTCCTACATCGACTTTCAAATCTAAATTTCCTTTTTCGGCTTCCCCCTCAAGTGTCACTATAGCCAACGATTCCAGTGCTCAAAACACTGTCCTAGGTCTACTGAAACCTCGCTCCACACTACACATTAGAGCCTTCAACGTGTGTACCCTATGTCAAATCGGCTAGCAGACTTCCTTGGCTAAACCCCTAGAATCTCGTACAATGGATTTATACTGTGTCTCTGAAACGCATTTAGGATCCTAGTGTGGTCATTCACTTGACCTCACCTCGGCAAAACGGAGAGCCGACGAGATACACCTTCCATTTATCTGGCTACCCGATGGCTAGTTCTCGTGGACTGGCAGGTGTAGGCATAGCACCAAGCATGAGGGCGGAACAAGCAATGTTAGAGTGGATCCCCGCTAACAGTCGTTTATGTGCTGTTCGGCTAAACGGCTCCGTGAGAGCTCGGAAAGATAGGGACACACGTCGTTGCCTTTTTGTCGTTTCTGCCTACGCTCCCACCGACTGCAGCTCAGATGAAGTGAAAGATGAATTTTACAGAAAGCTCTCTGAACTACTTCAGAAAGCTAAACGTCCAGACATATTACTCGTAGTAGGTTACTGTAATACCCAGATAGGTAGTTTAAACCAAACAGAAAGGCATTTAGGTGGGTATTTTAGTATTCTTGCACAGCGAACAGATGATGGTGATCGTCTGCTGCAGCTATGCTCAGACAGTCGTTTATTTTTAGCAAACACTAATTTTAAGCATAAGGAGAGACATCGTCTAACATGGCGACCCCCTACACCAAACCAACGATGGACTCAAATAGACCATATTGCCATCAGTCACCGTTGGAGGGGGTCGGTAGAAGATTGTCGCTCATTCTGGAGTACCTGCTTGGACTCCGATCACGCCCTAATACGGGCACGCGTCTGCTTGCGTCTCACTGGACGCAAAAAAGCCTCAGTAAAAAGACCCATTAGAACCGAACTGAGTAGCGAGGAAACCAAAAGTAGGTTCCAGGAACAACTGAGGTCACGATTAGGTAGTTCTGAAGACGAGGCTGACCCAGATGTTGCTTGGAAAGCTATGCAAACAGCTGTGGAAACAGAAGTGACATCTATCAGTGATTTAAACCACAAGGTTACAAAAAACCAATGGATTTCCTCTAGGTCTATTGCACTGATGGATTCTCGTAAACTCATCCCATCAGACTCTGAACACGATGAAGAGCGTGTAGAAATCAGATCCAGGTTAACCAAAAGTCTAAGAAACGACCGTGAGCAGTGGTTGGCAACGAAAGCAAAAGAGATGGAAAAGGCGACGGCTATAGGGAACACAAGGCAGCTCTACAGACTAATAAAAGAAACTAGAATTAATAAGTGAAGTGTAGGTGAGACGATCTCGTAAAAAGACGATACACTCATCTGCTCCCAGTCCAGGCGTTTAGAACGATGGGCGGAACATTTCGGAGAACAGTTCAGCTGGCCTTCAGCTACTCTACAACTACCCTCCATTCCCAGACAGTGTGAATGGAACATTGATGTAGGTCAGATGGTGGTTGGAGGTAGTCAACAGGAAACCCTGGACCCGGATTTCGTGCTACTTGGCACTCGTCAGCAAGGTGTACCTGTAAGGTTGAGGGAAGTGGTGCTCCCTGGCGGATTCGATCTCGTGTCACCCAGCTTCACAGTCAGAGACGTTACCACTGAGCTATCCGAGCCGTGACTGACCTCCTGTAGGACATGATCGATAGCATTCGATCTGCACTAATAAGGACTAGACAAGCATGAGATTGATCACCCCCCAGTGATCAATCAATTGTGATTGATGTAGGTCCCCCAACTCTTGCTGAAGTTCAAAAGGCTATAGTTAGTCTGAAACGAGGAAGAGCAGTTTGTCCATATGGATTGGCTCCAGAGGTCTTCAAGGATGGTGGTCCAAGTTTAACGATTAGGTTGACTAATATTTTAGCTAAGATCTGGGAGTTAGACGTTATTCCATCTGACTTTTCGCAATCACTTATCGTCCCAATATATAAGAAAGGGTCAAAATCATCCTGTGACAACCACAGAGGGATTAGTTTAACTAATATAATATCTAAAATGCTAGCCTCGATAGTTATCAGACGCTTAACTAAGACTCGTGAACTGCAAACTCGAGAGAACCAAGCTGGCTTCAGACCTGGTCGTGGCTGCATCGACCACATATTCATCATTCGTCAGGTTCTAGAACACAGGGATACTTATCGGCGTACGACAATGGTGTTCTTTCTCGACTTAAAAGCAGCATTTGACTCGGTAGACCACGAGACTCTGTGGCAGTGTCTGTCATTGAAAGGCGTACCTCAGAAGTACATAAACCTTGTGAAGGCTCTTTACTCGAACACTACTAGTCGAGTCAGGGCTTATGGCGAACTGTCATCTACTTTTGCAACCTCAAGTGGTGTCCGTCAAGGCTGTCCACTTTCTCCATTTTTGTTTAACTTCATCATAGACCTATTGATGGAAATAACACTCGTCGACCGAATTCTCGGGTATTGATCTCCTTCCAGGAGGTCCACTTATCGACTTAGAATACGCAGATGACATAGTCCTGTTTGGTGAAGACGCTGAGAAAATACAGAGTCTTCTGGTAGCACTAAGCAACAATGCCAGAATGTTTGGGATGCGCTTCTCTCCCTCTAAATGCAAGTTGTTGCTTCAGGACTGGTCTGCGTCAACACCTGAACTAAGGATAGGGAGTGAAGTAGTCGAACGCGTTGACAACTTCACTTATCTTGGAAGTCTGATCAGCCCTAATGGATTGGTGTCTGACGAAATCTCAGCACGGATTCGAAAAGCTCGTTTGGCTTTTGCTAACTTACGTCACCTATGGCGAAGGCGAGATATCCGTCTATCAATTGAGGGACGAGTATACTGCGCGGCAGTCCGTTCTGTTTCAATTTACGGCAGCGAAACATGGCCATTGAGAGTAGAAGACACTCGTAAGCTACTAGTATTTGACCACAGATGCCTTAGAAATATTGCTGACGTCTGCTGGGATCACCGGGTAAGTAATAGCGAGGTTAGACGCAGGGTATTAGGGAATGATGGTAAATCAGTTGATGAGGTTATGAATCTTCATCGACTGAGATGGTTGGGCCACGTGTTACGTATGCCTGAACACCGATTACCATGTCGTGCAACGCTAACCGGTATTGGAGATGGTTGGAAGAATGTTAGGGGCGGCCAAACCAAAACGTGGCATCAGTCCTTGAAGTCACTAACTTCTAATCTGAGCCATGTTGGTAGATGCAGACTACTTGGTTGGGGTCCGCGTGACTATCGTAACCAATGGTTGGAGACTCTTGGTGACATGGCTCAGAATCGATCACAATGGCGTAGGTGTATACACTCTCTATGTTCCCTTAAACTAAGAGATTAAAATCGCTTCATATATTTCTTTCTACGAACTAATTCTTTCTTCCTGTACTATATACTTATTGCAATCTTTCTCTTATATATTACCACCTCTGAATTAACTACTTTTAGGAATCCGGTGTCCATCTTGTTGTTGTCAATGTGGTATGGCAACTTGGACTGTTGCATATATGTGCCTGGTCCTACGTTGTAGCTGACCTACTCTATGATGTTCGTTTTATTGTAAAAATCCTACAGCGAAATCCAGTCAATCAATTCAGAAAAGTAAAACAACCATCAAGATCAAATTAACTCATACACTAGGCACTTGGGGATGAGCCACACTCTAAGTGTCATAGTTGATGGTACCAGGCGGTTGTTCAAACAGCAGTAGAAGACGAATAGTAACCAATGTTAAGAGATAAATCTATTCAGGAATGATCATAGTGGCCGTAAAGTAAATCTTTTAGGCACTAATGGTAGTAGTTTCATTACATTTATTCTTCCGTGAGTCAAGACTTCGACTAACAGAAGAAAGTATACGCTCAGCTACACACAGAACATCCACACAAGTAAATAATCAGCAATTGTGTTCCAAATAAAAATCGAACCCATTATCAGATTTAGATAATCAAGGGAAGGTCATTCAGACATATATAATCGCACAAACTCACCTTCTTAGTAAATAGTTTATTACGCTTAATCGGTGGCTCACGTAACGGTTGGTTTCTTTCCACTCGCCTATCAATTAAAGATAATGTTAAAGATGGCATGACAATGAAAAGTAGCCAAAATAATTGACCAATGCTAAGACTTGGTTCTAAATTCCAATCCGAACTGTAGTGTAACAAATTAATGTTAGTGTGCTTATCAGTTTTGCTTAAATTACCAAAAATTTCACTTGAACCAAAAATAACTGATCGAAATGGTTCCACAGGCAGCCAAATTAATTCACCTTGTTGAAGATTTGATCGCACATCTAGCAAAACAACAGGTCGTGTAGGCAACCCGATTATTAATAGTAGTAATTGTAGTAAACCAACTGCTAACGGAGTTGTTGAACTGAACACCAAACAATGATAGAGGTTATTAACACTGGCGTGAGCCTGATTAATATAAATGGGAAAATAAAATGCTCAAAAGTATTCTGAATAATCACTAAAGTATACCAAAATGTACAAGTCCGCAAAATTTCACTAAACGGTTAATATTTTAAGTCACTAGATAGTTTCTAACATTATACCATCCAGTCAACTGTGTAAATCAAAATCTATGGATTAAGTTGAAGAATGTATTCTCTCCAAACAGGATTATTCTAAAGCAATATTAATTGCTCAAACGTCTGGATCACCTATTTCCAAGTTGTACATGCATCAGAATTCACCTTCCCGTTTCAGATCTATGTGGACTCGAAAGCTATAAATATGATGTATATTTACGTGCAATTATAAAAGGTTTACAAATTATCAAGATGGTGAATACTGGAAAACTTAAACAGACAAACTGAAGTTGTTGGGACGTTTCCCTCTTTGCAGACGAATATATTGAAATTTATGCAATTTATTTACAATGGACAAAAAAGAGATGTTGTAACCGATGGTACGAAATTTTGTTAGTTGGGGATGGGTAGTAGATACCGAGTGTTAAAGACACACATAAAAAACGTCCTGAAATATATATGACTTGAATGTATACTAAACAGAAGTTTGTTGTAATATTGTATAATTGGTGCTGAGAACACCTTACTGTAACAACTTTTACATTCCAATGAAATTTATGCGACTTGTAAAGGATTCATAAATGTTAGACAACAGGAGAGTAACTATATTAAAGAACAAGAGATCTCTATCATAACCCAGTGGATTGGGTGATAATGCTATCAAGATTTAAGCAATAAGTCTTGGATTTAGGTCTCAATGAAAAAATTACCATGGTGACCCAAGCACATAAAGCTCAGTGTGAAATACAACAAAAAGCATGTTTCGGATTTTACGCAAATAAAAAAGTGATACGAGAACCACTGTAGTACGTATAATTTTACTCTACTTACCTCAACAATAAGATCGTAAACATGAAATCCTGTTTTCTCTATATCTAAAAGACAAGGTGTAACTAAGTGTACAAGATGTGCAGCAATGTCGAATGTATTAAAATTTGTAGTATCACTTTCCTGATGTGTAGAAGTCGGGTTTTTTTTCGAACAACTAAACTCTTCTGACTGGAGATCACTTGTTAACCGATCAACAGACTTGAAAGTTATACAACGAAAAGAAAATTCAAACGAAATTAATTAAAACAATAATGCATATAACAGAGTCCAGTGCATTGAAAATGATTTTTAAAAATCGTAAATGATAAACTTTCTTATCATAGGAATAATAAAAGAATGATTAACTTACCGTTTTAAAGCTTCGCGAAGATAATCGCTGAGTTGAACACACACATACGGTTCTTACATACTTATCAAAAGTGCCGTTTATTTGATTAGGTATAAGCATTTATTGCGAAGAACAAAGCCTTCTATGAAAGTAAGCTTAAAAAGCTGTACTTTAATAGAATAAGAATTCTGTGGCATTACACAAATTAATTTTTACTGCTGTTATATGCTGCTAGGTCCATTATTAATTCATCCTCGTTATACAAGCTAGCGGCTATTTAGACTCAGTAGCTCAGTGGGTAACGCGTTTGGTATTCCAAATGAAAGATACTGGGTTCGAGGACCGCAGTGAACAATAAAACTGGAATGCAAGTACATTCAGCTAGAAGGACATGTGTCCTGGATTACACTGTAAGCCACTACTAAAACTTAATTATATCAGATTTGTTCAGTCCATAATGTTGATCGAATTACATCGATCAAGTCACGCGGATAGCTGTAGTCGCATCACTGACTGTGGCACTGGGTGCGCTGATTTAAACACCACAGGGAGCACCAGTTCTCTTACATTTGCTGATATACCGTAACAAAAATCAAAATCTAAGGCTTCATACTAGTAGTTTTTAATGTCCTAACAATACTCATTTATGTATAAGCATCAAGACAAATGTGTAGCAGCCAAAAAATTAACCGATAACCTCCTATCAGATTGCTTGGCGAAGAAAATAATTACAAAGGACAGGTAAACAAATCACTTGCGATAATTTGTAGTGAGACGATACGTGCAACCAAGACAGTGGATGATATACTATGAAAGTGTGTGACAGCTTTAGAAAACTTCTGAGTACTAAATAGGTGTTATTTGTTACTGATTGTGAGTGTATTGATGTCAAGTACTAAACATAATGCACAAACTCTCCATAAGGCTGCACTATGTTCTATAATTTCTGAACTAGTGTTTCAAATTACACAGAAGAAAAAAATGTCAACGGAAGTTGATTTTGGAAGGAGGTTAATGCAGCAGTCGAATCTGGGTGAGTTAGCTGACAACATCCTATTACAATTAAGGAAATTATAAACAGAAATGAGATTTTTTCTAATTTTATGTAAGCAACACATTCCCTATTACCCTCTATTGAATGATAAAATGTTCATGTATTCAAATAGTTGAGCCCCGCACTCCATTTGTTTCCCATGTTGTGGCGCTGTGGCCTCAATCATAAAGCTTTTTGATTCCACTATCTTACGAGGAGTAAATATAAGCCTAAAATATACACAAGAAGTAAAGAGAAATTTTGGTGTGTTTGTTCATGTTTTGCATTACTTTAGATTCGTGATTTTCGAAGTAATTTTTTTAGTTTTTTACAGTCCTCTGTGTTTTACTCGAGGACCAAGAGTGTAAAACTTCTGGCGAAGCGACTGAGAAGTCAGTGTTAAAGTGATCGAGTAAGGGTTTATCACAGAGTTGCTGCTACCTTGACACAGTGGTCGGGTTAGTCTATCGTGATGAACCAGTCGAGCTATACTGGTTTGGACAATCGTTCCTCAAGGTCCTACCATACCATACAGGTTGGTTGAAGAACGGTAAGACTAAAACCAGCAAACCCAAGGCCCAAAGGTGAAGTCGTACTGCTGTCTGTACAACAGTGTGACAGTAGTAAGGTGTTTCTTCAGACAACCAGCATAACAGCGATACTACCTTCTCATACGGAGGGTGTGGCGTTGGAAGAGGTCGAGCCTAAAATGCACATATCGCCTTATTCCACCTATTTCCGTCTCCGGTGGTAAGGTTCCAATAAGTACGGAGCTAACACGAAAATTAATCACTTAGTTCGACGCATATATATGCCTGGTCCTACGCTGTAGGTGACTGACTGATTGCACTAATATATTTCCAGTAATAATAGTTTTTAAAAGTGTTCGCATGGATGAGGTATATGAAATGAAGTTTATATTTAATAATAAGGGTGGGATTATTATAGGAAATATGAACTCACTTGATTCGAGACAATGTACTTGGTATTTGCAAATTGACAATTCGAGTAGGGTAGAATAGGTTTCACAGCAATAGCTACATCACTTTGTTGAAATAATACATAGTTGGTTAATGAATAACAGCTTCCAATTAGGCAAACAGTATCCCCATATTCTTTCATTATTTGAATCATTTCGCTAACAGCTTTTCAATAAGTAAATAAACAAAGAGAATGATATTGAGATGTTAAGTGAGATGAAAGATTCATAAACAGTTCAACAGTTTTAGTAATGTTTGATGAGTCACTGTTGTTGATTTAATTAATCGAATACAGGTATAAGCGTTAACAAAGCAGAGATAGGATACTCTGATACTTGAATGTTAAAGCTGGTAAAGTGCAAACGACGTTTCCATCATACATCTTGATTCTGAATGTTAGAAAATAAACTCAAGTTTGTGTGCCAGACATCATTTTAGTGACAGGGATGAGTCCTCTGCTGTTTAATTAGTGGTCTGAAAGGAAAGGCTTTTATTGATCGTGAATTTTGGCAAGCGATTGAAAGCTTTCAAACATGAATTTATTTTTCATTCCAAGTTAAAATCCCTAATACAAATGAATTATAAAAGTGTTCTTTGTAAACTAGTGACAGAATTTTGTAAATTGTTAGCGGGACATAGACTAGATTAAAGCATGCTCAATGCATGATTGTTTTGGTGCACGCTGATTGGCTGATTCTTATCCAATCAGCACTAGTCGGTAGTCGGAGAACACTCTGGAATCTTCTTATGTAAACACTATAAATATACCGACGTTTTCCCCTATTATACTTCTGACTTGCTATTTGGAATATAATCTTTTTCCTGTTCAACCGTGTTCTGATTTGGGGACTTGTCGAGTGAATCGGTGTCCGAGAATACTAAGCAATAGGAATAGCTGGGTCATTAACCGTAAGAAGGAACAGAGTTATAACATAAATAGATAGAAAAAACACTCCATCTTACAGTTTTTCAAGATGACAAAGGAAAGTTACAATTGCCTGAGATTTTGAGCTATATCTGTTAGCATCTCAAATAAAATAAAATACAAATAACTGTAGTTTAGTTGGATGGGCAGTATTAATGATTTTTACATTATGAACTCATGACTAAGTTTTACTTACTGTTCTTACTTGGTGCTGCAGAAATAAAAAGATACAAGTGGGTGAATGGTTTTGAAACAGATAATAGAATAGTGTACTAAGAACCTATAATTCAGGTAATTAACTATGTCACTAGTCTACTAGGTCGAAATACATTCCACATACCAAGATCAGAGAATCAGATACTATCACTCAGTCACACATAATTATTAATAATAATCATAATAATATCAACAGAATACTGACTTATAGTATTTAAAGTGCTCAGATGAAATGTATCGATTCATTTAGTCATTCCTGGAATCCCGTAACGTTTATTTGGAATCCGCCCAAAAATTCAGACGTTAACATGTTCTAAATCGAACTAAGAAAGTCAGCAAATAGTTCTTTAAAATTTCAAACACTTTAAGGTCGCGAGAAAATAGTGAAATACAGTAAACTGTGTTCACAACTCTTTAATGGTGAGGGTGATAGAGGTAAACTAGACTGGCTTTTACTCCAGTGACTAGATAATCATACTGAATTCCAACGGAAAAGCACTCAATTATTTAAGGTTTTCGGCTTTCAATATATATAAAATAATGACTGTTATAACTGAAATAGTTAAAAACCACTTCGAAAATTCCTAACATAATACATGTTGGAAAACGTCTAAACAAGTATACCGTAAGACATTCAGCAAAGATATATGTATCAAAATATGGGAAAATGTGTCATTGATGTTTACTGTAAAAAATCATTTTAACTGTGTTCGAAAACAAAACGATCGGGGACTGTAGAGGTAAGCAAGTCATAGCGTTATACCGTACAACATGTTATTTAAATAATTATGTAATATACAACAATTAACCTTTAGGTGTACAATCAGTAAACAATGATACTTGTAATGGAACGTTATCGACATTTTCTAAATGTGGGCGTATGCTATCGATTCCACATGGAAGTCGGGACTGTAAAAGAAAGAGATAATGAAAACGTTAACTTAATACCAAATAAAGAAGTAGTTGAAACATCACAGAGAGAGAACTATTACTTGTTAAAATACAACGAACTGATCAAAAAGACAAATGGGATATAATATTACGACCGATATCTTTACGACATATTGTTCTTTGTATATAAAACAAAAACCGAATAAAAAATCATTTAAAAACTTATGCAACTACTTGATAACCCTGTTGATATTTATCTCTCAAGATTTGAGCAACACTTACTATAAAAAAAGTGCGATTAGGTAAACCAAATGGATAAAATTCAAGTGCTTAATTTCTTGGTCTACAGAGTCACAATAAGTCAGCTTAAAGTGAAGTCGGATGTAAAATGAGAGGGAGTAATTATATTCTCAGAAATATACGTGATCAGTGTAACGAGAAATTATTCAGACTAGTCATTTTCTCAGACCTTATAACTTGCGGTAAGTGCTTAAGGTTCTGAAATAATACATCATCGTCAATATATACCAAGATAAAATACCTGTCTAATGCTCTCTGGATCTAAACAACTCGTAACAAAAAAGCAACAAAATCTGTATATGCGTTGAACGTATATGTGATTCAAGCATTATTTATACTGAAAAATAAAACCCAGTATGTAATGATAACACAATCAAGATGCGAAAGGCTTTTAATGAATCATTATTTCAAGGCTGTTGAATGATAATTATCAGTATAGGGTTGTGGAGATTGTTTTATTGAGATCATTAACTGATCAACCTTAGACCACCACTGAAAACCTGGAAGCACTGGAAGGCCACTTCGTCCCAGTATGAGACTACTCAGCAGTACGAATCCACGATCCCACATGCGGACGCTTAACATCTAAACCACTGAGCCGGTATTAAGAAGGAGACTGTTTGAAGCCCGAAAACATTTAGTGATATTTTCGAAACAAAGCTTAAATAAATGATAAAAACAAAGATTACGAATCTAAAAAGAATGGATGCAGACCATTAAGGTTTTTATCTTGTTAAAATCCATAACAATATGAGAGGAAAAAGTATGAAATTTTGAATTCAAGACATGTCAATGCTTGTCTAATTCAAGACACTTACTAGTACTCAATCAAATGGATAGTTAGCATGATCCTTAGATAACGGCTCAAGCAAAAGTTGTTCCGATTTATAGGAATATTAGCACCAAGAATTTACTGCTGATTCGTAATATTCAGTATGGATAATTTTCAATGTTCAATAGCGTTTTAGTTACTGTAAGACTGAATATAATTTGTAGATGAGAGCCATTATCCCATACAGGCAAATTTGTGAATTAGATTCTGGTCTTATGAAAGTAAACAACAAATTCCTCAAAAATAAACATCGACTTTATAAATTTAGTATTGATGTAACGATTTTTGATCATGTTATTTATGAATTGTAACATTATATGGATGTAAATTAGTCATTTATTATGTTCGATAATGAGATGACATTGAAATGTGAAGACAAAATTATTCTGAACACCGTTTCAACAAAAAACTACAGAAAATTACCTTGTTCCTGACCAACAATTCCGACAATTTTATTTCTTCAGAATTATCACTTTGTCCATCTACTGAGAGCGATACAGAACTAGTTGAATTACTTGACGAGGACAAGTGATATGAACCGAATGATTCCTTTGGACCTATTTCGTTTGAACGAATCTGCTGAAGGTAACTGGTAGACACAGCATGAGCGAAATTATTGTTAATATGATCATGAGAGCATGAAGATTCAAAGTCAGAGTCAATTTGTCGGGAATTCAAACATGGAGAGATTGATTTCAAACAGTTTGCTTCACAATACTCAGGAAATGGAGTAGATTGAAAGAACTGTGGATCAGATGTGGACCCGAATTTCTTCCCAAAATTTTGTAAAGTATAAATGAATAATAAATAGCTATTTACTACAGATTGTTATTGTTACTATCAAAAGTGTTTCATTGAAATTTTTAGAGCACAAACAAACATAACAATGTTTGAGCCATTCTGTCCCATTCCGCTATCTACAAATAATTCCCCTACCTACAACTAAGAGAGAATTGTATCTAAATGGTTTAGGCATCTGACTCTCAATTGCTGAGTTGTAATTTCAAGTCAATACATCACACCACAAGGGTATATGAAGTTGACTAGATTTGATGACTCAACACAAAGGGTATGTGCATGTAAAGGATTCTGTCAGTCATGGAGTGAAACACTACATTTATAGACGCTAATAGTCAAATAATTAAATGGGATTTGAATAGCCTGTATCATCAAAAAGTACAATAATATTAATCGAGTAATTGAGGTCGAAATTCGATTTTCAGAGGACTGCTTTATAGTACTAGTGTTTTTGCATATCTATCTGTCTCCAGGATGTCATTAATGTCAAAATAGAAAGGAACGACGAGATTGGGGAATCCTGAGCAACACCACTGCTCTATTGGATCAATGGAGATGGATAGTGACTAGCATTGGAATCCATGACGTGTATTTCGTCCTATTTGGGACTCGTCAGCTAGATGTACCTGCATTCCAGAGTAGATGTTCACTCCGGAACTCGAACGAACAAAACTCGCGTCCTGGACTCCACTGCTAGTCACCATTCACCTATGCTTATAGTGTTTGTGACTTAATGCAATATCGAGGCAACCACCACAGGATGTACATGCCAATAAGAGACTGATCAATTGCAACCCTAAACATCAATGAGAAGATTCAAACAATCAATGAGAAAATAAATTGATAGAGATAATACTTTGTTTAAAGTTTTTAGAATGTTGATAGACGCACGATATAATTTTTTGCGTATAATATTAGGTCAAAGTATTATTCAACGAACGAGAGGTGGGGTAAATATTAAGAGGCGAAGTGACTGATGTCTTGTAATGAACGAGACGGTGTTCAAGAATCAGTTTGCGCAAATGTTCATAAAGCAGTAACTATCAAACATAGAGGAAGTTGGTAAATATGTGACCACAGATTGCTTTACTCTGGGTCTATAAAATGAAAGTGAATGACATTACTATCAATTTCGGTGTGAAAGGCTAAACATCGGGGAATACAGTTCGAAAAGGAACGAATTCAATAAATAAAAAGTACGAAACAATATTGAAGCTCGAGGCTAAGGGGGATATAAAGAGGAAGCTCATCTGGGTCACTGTGGCCAATTCTGGACCACGTCACTCAACGCCTCCAATTACTGATTGAGGTTGACCCAGGCCAGTCCCGAAGATACATTTTGTATTTACAGGGGTGAAACACGTCGCAAACATTCTTGGACACGTCATGATGCACGGCGTTCGAAATCTGACACGGAAACACAACGTGCTACGCGCCAACCCTCACCCCCAACTTACTACTTGAAGTCAAGAGTGAAGGAGAAAGTCTACTAGGGCACCGAATAACATGCATAAACACTCATATATAGACATTTTATCCCTTGAAAATCAACCCATATCTTAGCCAGTGGTATGTATTTGTCCTTTAGGATATTTCTAATTATCAAGTGACCCTGCTGATTGGCACGCTATAGCAGGATTGTCACTCGAAGTAGCCAGAAGGCTTTACAGTATTTCTGGGTCTCCAATGAACACAACCATGTCATCAGTATATTCCAAGTCAACAAGTCAATCTCTTGGTAGATCAGTCCCTAAAAACCCAAACAACGTAAGTTTCCTCTCAAGCAATGTCTATGATTTTGGTAAGTAAAAGAAGTAGAGTCCTAATAAGCATTACTGATTGTTTTTAGTTCTGCTAACAATCTGTCATAACTCTAAATACGACTGTTGGAGCTCGAGCAAAGAGCCTTCAGATGGTTCGCATACTTTTCTAGTACATAGTTCAATTAAAAAACTGCTTCAAAACTACCTGGTATATGGAGTTAAATGTTGCCCTCAGATCGAGAAACATGATTGGTTAGTCAAGTGTCGGTACGTATGCATGTTCTAAATCCTGCCAAAAGATAAAGCTTTTCCGGATACATACAAATCCAAGAACGAAATTGGCTTTTCTCGTATTTGCTGATCGTTAACTTCTTTTAGGCGTCAATTAATTCTCGAGACTAATCCTTTAGACGCCATATTCCTCAAAGTTACTTCTTTATGGCTATTACGAGGGAAAACTAGTCCGGTATTATAGATTGGGATGATCGATGATTGAGACAAGTAAGACAGGACTACATTTAGCTGTCCGGCTCTAGATAACATTGTACTCAACTCTTAAAGCTGGACTACCAATCTTGGAGATTTCTAGAGTCAACTGATCAGGTCCCGCTGCTCTCCACCACCCCAAATTAAATACAGTCTTTCCAAACTTGCTAAGTTATCGGATTTGTGTCAATCTCCCATTTAGGTTGCATGGGAATAGCAGGTAACTGAAGAGTGACCAGAGGTCAGTTAATTGTTTGTTGTTCCTTAAAGTGCCTTACCAATCGTTTTAAACTGAGTGGAATACTGTTTTATCTTTTTCGGTAACACTTCCATCAACACTAATGTCTTCTCCATCTTATATTTTTGCTGACCACTACTACTCACAGTCATTACGTAGAAATTTTATCAATCTGCTTCGAAATTTCCTTAACTATTCATCGTTATCAGAACCTGAAGTGATGAGTCTTCAAAGATCCGTTAATTTGGTAAAGACTTCTAGATCACTGAAATCATGAACCGATGAACGTTAAACCACTACTGAAAACTTGGAAGTACTGTATGGCCGTTTCGTACTAATATGACACTTCTCAGCAGCGCGAATCCACGATCCCGCACAAGGAGCTCGAACCTGTGGCCTTCGGTCTCGCGCGAACGAGTTCTAGTGAGAAGCTGTAGCCAGTGGAGATTAATCGCATCGGGTGTGAGGCAGTTACCCACTGAAGACAATGGAAGATAGTCGCGTAATATCGTGGATTGTTCGAAGTTAGACACTGACACCGTTGGATACCGGCTCAGTGGTTTAGATCTTAAGCGTCCGCATGTGGGATCGTGGATTCGTACTGCTGAGTAGTCTCATACTGGGACGAAATGGCCTTCCAGTGCTTCCAGGTTTTCAGTGGTGGTCTAAGGTTGATCAGTAATTGATCTTAATAAAACAATCTCCACAACCCTATATTGCTTCTGGACCAGTTGACTATTCTTAATTTCGTGGTCTAGGTTGGTAACAAATACCACTGTTTTTACAACAGTGAACTGCAGATCATGACATGCTACTTCAAGATGAACATCCTCTACACGATCGACTAAATGCTTAGTTAACTCTATCTTAAACGTATCCTTGACATTTACATTTTTAAAATGAGTTCAAAAAAGTATCCTGTGAACGTTTTGTGTCCAATAAGCCACAAATAAACACGAGCTCACAAAACAGAGTGGTCGGAATTTAAATAGGATTGAGATTCATCAGTTGAGCCCTTCAAACGACGACTGATAGTAATCTGATCTGTTTGTGTTCATCCTTGTGACGTCGGTGGTCTACAGGTTATACAGTATTTGCTACTGTTCAAAGTTGTTGCTTACAATTACTAAAGATGTCTGGAAGTAGTTAAAAAAATGGTCGCCAGTTTCTGTCCACTTAGCTGAGATGCCAAAATACACGCCTGAGTATCTTTCAGTTCCACTTAGCCCACCTGCTTGGTCGTTGATATTATTAACGATAATTGCTACATCTGATAGTTTAGTTTTCTGGAGGTTAGATAAATCTTCGTAGAGCCTGTCTTTTAATTCGTTTGTGTTGCAATAAGTGGGGGTTAAAGGCAAAAATGAAAAAATACCAGCGCTTATCACTATTTCCGAGTCCTCGTTGTACCACTTATTTTGGCGGCTCATAAGTAACTTTCGAGAGGAATTCATTCGAGGCGTACATGTTGTCTTTCAACTTAGTAATATTTCAGTGGTCCGATAACGACGCCATTTAGGACGGACGATGTTGTCGACAGGTTCACCACTTTTGAGGCTCCAAATCTGACTCCAATTAGATCGTATGTTGATCGCTGTCGAAATATACATTTCGCTAATCCTCGTATATAATCATCGACTTGAATTGCGTTAGTGAATAACGGAGTTAAATAAGCCACATACGATAATGAATTTTGAATATGTATGCTTCGTGTACTCACCGATTTGAACAGACAATCAGGGAGACGAAACAAAGAGGAAAGGGTGGAACGGATTGGAGAAGGCAAATATGCCAACTCGATTTAACCGAGCATTAGTCAATATTTATAGCCAGATAAGAATAAGCTACAGGTAAGATAAGATGTGCACTCACATACGCTCATCTAAAAACAGTCAGAATAAATAAGCCAATAAGTGACAAGGTCAAAATGTGGTTTAAGAAAAATGAATAGATTGGCTTGTTCGGAATCTAGAATAAACTATGTGGGTTTAACATATACATAACGTTACACTATTCCCCACAATATACTTACACTGCAAGACAATGAGAAGTTAATGTCGGGTCTCCAGATACACAAAAGGATAGTTACAACTGGATCTCCATACTGGCTAGATGGAGTCAAGTGAATTATCACACCAGCATCCTGTTTCCGTATTTCGGAGACAGTATAAATGGATGGCAAAAGATTCTAGAGTTTCACAAGGGTATGTAATCGTAATATACTGGTCCGAAACACTTTTTTTAAATATATGGCTTTACAATATAAGTAAAGTAGTTGGAGCATTTTATCTAGATTATTCAAAGACTATGTTTTGTGTAGAGCATGTGGTTGAATGTTAGTATTCCATGGTTTGTATTTTAACTAATCACTTACAAGGAAAATAATATGCATCTCTAGAAAACTGACACGAAAGTGACAGAAAAATGTCCGATTCGTGGGATGGTTTATTTTCTGAGTGATATCACCGACCGAAAACTCTGATCTAGCTTTTCTGAAGTTACATTTATCATGTAAACCTGCCTCCAACGTTTGTACATTGATGCAGACCATACAATAGACAGGTCTGGCTAAAAATTCTAAAAGTTTCGATATGCATGTCTGTTATATACCTGAGACTTGTATTTAAGATTCTGGTCAAGTAAAACAAAGTGATTCGCCATCCGCCAGTTCGAAAAGTTTATTTGATATATACTTGTCCAGTGACTCTATTGCATCAGCTTGCAGTTTCCCTGGTGTTAGTGTCATACTGAAGAAATATTGCTGGTAAACTGGACACTAATTAACAGTCGCTTATGCACTTTTCTTATTTTTTATTTTATTTTAACACATAGATATTGGTACAAGGGGACATCATATACATACGCACCACACAAATCTCATTTGATTTGTGTGAGGGCTGTGATACTGACCGGGTGCCCAAACCGAAGCAGGTGGTTTTCTTAGGAGGTCACACCCAGAGCCTTCGACCTGAAGGTCTGGTCCACAAGACAGTGGAGCAACGTAAGGACATGCAGTCCCATGGTAGCCGGTGACCAACGATTGGTTCGTAGGCCGTTTGTTCCTTCAGGATACTGGAGCCCATGTCCACTTTTGGTTCGGAATCATGGTTTTCCAACTTCCCTAAGTATACTCTCCTTGTCCACCAACCCGGTTAAAGCGCCGGACATTCGCTTTTCGTCCTCTCGACTTCGTAAACGACACCCCCGCCACGAGAAGGCAATGAGTAGGACTTCCCTGGGAGAGGCTATATACGCGTGGCCATGTGAGAGCATTTCGAGAGGGAGAGCGGACTGTCCCCACTCTCGGCCGTACCAGGGCATTTTTTATGCACTTTTAGGTTAGGTTACAAAGTAAGAAGAAACGGGGTGAGAAATCATGTTTTTTGTTATCCCTACCTACATACGAGGGGACTGCATTTCGAGTGAAACTAACACTGACTTCTATGTCCTAATTAGGTCAAATTCATTATAAATCATATTTAATAGATCTTCTGTTGTTAGCTGAGGACTTGAATGAACAGGTATGTGGGTCAAGGGACAAAGAAGAGGTCATTTGAGTGGATAATGAGGACTCGATGGTCGAAGGTTAGATGACGGGGACATTCTCTATAGTTTTGTGAAGAGTTCAACCTGTTTCTGGTCAGCGCCAAACTCCAGGAAAGTCATCGCCAACATGTCAACCAGTGTCCTTTCTATAAAACTGAACGGTGGATTTAAACTGGTCATATTGCAGTCAACTACTTATGGTGTGGATGTGTCGGTGACAGAAGTTTTGCTTGAAGCCTGACAATATTTTGAGATCATGTTTTATCATCGATCCCCAAAGGTTTGCTCACATACGGTTCAGTTTGAGAAAGTGTTTGATATTATGGATGCTAACGATATCATCAAAATGTGCAGTGACAAACAGGTTATCCAAATCACAGTGGGAATATGGCATCATTGCCAGTGAAGTAGAGTTAAAACCAGAGCTAACTTAAGAGATATTTCCATGGCCATAACAAAAGAGAGGAATAATATAAAAAACACATATGTACTAAAAAAATACATCATTTAAAGATTATTTAGTGAAGTTCTAAATAATCATAAGTTTTTCTTTATATTGAAGAGCAGCTGTAAAAGTAATCTTAATCTAAATGAAAATATTTATAAAACATAGATCACCTTTCTGGAGATTTGTACTAATCGAGTTATTACTGTCATCGAAACAATCTTAAGTAGATACATCCACTTACTGAAAAATATGACGTTGCTAGTGCCGGAGAACTTGACCATCGCTTAGTCTGATGAGAACCTTATGGAAGGTAAAGAATAAAAAAGCAGTTAGAAGATGGAAAAACATCTGTTAAAATTAATGTAAGATCAAATTACTTACCAACAAAGTATTTTCCTTCAGTGACGAACAAATCAGTTCCAAATGAAAATTTATAGCTTTTACGGAATTCTTTAGGCAGACCAACGGATTTGCGATTACTAACAGAATTAGGACTCTTAAGCGATATATGACAATTCCAACCACATTCTAACCCCAAACGTTCAGCGAACACTCTACTTCGAAGTTCATTTTCCTTAACAAAATATACGAAAAATAACACTTTTACAAAATATAGTAGCAGACCAACCCGTGTTATTTAAGAAAAAGATAATTAATAATAGTGTCACTAATAAGTTTCTGGGAAAAGTAGTTATGAATTAAGATCGGGAAATTCGCTCATTAAAAGCACTGAAGATAGTTTCAAGGGTTGGAAAGTAAAACAGCATATCTTGTGAAAAGAACTACTAAGGAAAAGTTTTAGTGGTCACTCTCTTGAATAGTTCTTTTAATAATACACCTCGAACGAGAAACTATGTGTTACAGTGGTCCATTAAATAATAATCATATAATTAATGACCACGTATTAAGCATATTGTTTAGAAACTCCGACGCACCATACGTCACGTGAAATAAAACTATAAATAATACGTCGCGTAATGTTGTGAACGAAATCCCATCAAAACATTTCAAGAAATTAGTATCGTTACTGCTGGGAATAGTTAAGCATATATATTGTGAGATTGTACAGTATGTGTAAAGACGTAAAAATATAAACTATTTAACTGACATTATAAATGATTCAATAATTTCCAGTTATAAATATAGTCAAACAAAAAATCATCCTATCGAAAAAGTCCTTTGCATTACCTTAATAAGAACAAACACAGAATAATACTAAATACAAAATATAACATACAGTTTATCAGTGAACGTGTACAATGACTTCTGAGTTACCCTTATAGATCGTGATACTACTGGGTTGCAAACTAAGTTAATTAATTTTTGGAACCATGATATAATCGTTGACAGTTGAGTGGCTTTATTAACTTACAGGGAGTGGGTTGTCTAAGTTTACTAGCTACCTAACAGCCAAATACTTTACAGAAACGGGCACCAAACTGGAATAAGTGACGTGACCATCAGATTAGTTTTAAAAGCTACGGATAGTAGCTAGTCCTTTGTATGGCTTAATAACAGTATTTTCCATGGAAGTATCTCAAAAGTAGTTTGGCATGAAGTAATAACAATAATACTTACCAGACAATTGTTACTTACTCGAGAAAAATGTACAAATCGTATACAAGCTTGATGAAGTTGTTTAATGGACTTCACAACTTGAGGATTTGCCTGATACTGCATACTTATTAGACCTAAGAATATTTGATTGTTCAGTATAACGTCCACTTCTTTCTGATCAATACGTACATTACTCCTACAAAATAACGGTAAAAAAATGAGGTAATTGTGAAAAAAATTTACAGGAGTTATTTAGATGAGGAAAGACAACTATTATGTATAAAAGGGGTCTAACATATAAGAGACTGAATGTTGTCTGAACGAATGGTCATTGAGAATCAGCTAAATATTGAACTTTTATGGTAAAAGGACTAGTGGCTGTATTTGATTTTATAAGTGGTTTATGAATTTCGTAATAATCATTTATTTAAGATTTAGAAGCAAAACGTTAAGTTGCAAATAAATTCTGAAAATATTTTTGATTTGTAATGTAAATTTGTTATCGTATACGAATAATTTATGCAAAAGGACAAGCTTGATCTTTAAACTATAGGATAGATATAACAGGTTTTTGTAAGTTAGATTTAATAAATTAGGTGGTGGAATAGGAAAGACAGTAACATAAAATCTTGAATAAAAGTCCATTGATTTGAGGCATATGGAACTAAAAGATGGTTATTAAAATAACTAAGAACATAAATGAGGAATAACAAGACAACTAAAACTTAGACGAGGATTTGGAGTGACTGCAGCTGGATTATTATGAAGCGGACCGCTAATTTTTATTACTGTATGTTATATCCGGTGAAGATTAAATTACAGGTAACTTCCGAGGACTATTCATGGACTAATATTCTATAAATATTCTTATTGTATAACTATTCAACAATTACATTATGTATATTTATACCCCTCTTATGACAAGCTTTATTTTGGCCTATAATTTATTATTGTACGATTTACGGTTCTTAAGTTATGTTCAGTTTACTAACTACTGCCTCCCACATTCACAGCCACTTTTTGGGCTTATTTGTGTACAAATATTATTTCCTATTTTATGGTACGTTGCGGTCTGTGTGATTGATATATAAACCAAGTATGCCTGAAATAAACGATCTGCTCTGATTCGGAAGCTGGTATTGTGTTCTGGACCCAAGTGGAAGGGCTCGTAGGACATAGGACCAATAAGGACGCTAAACTGCCCACACCGGTTGAACGTCATTGGTTGGCCTAGTGTGAAGATTCGTATAAGTCGTACTCGGATTGGTAGATAAATCGTGTGATAGAAAAGCCAGACATCCAAGGTCATAACACTGTATCATATCAAATAGTTTAAGTCCTTCCAAGAGTATCCAGCAACTAGACAGTGACTTTATGAATTGATGGAATTTTTTAGTTTGGCTAGTAACGACTTTTTTAAACTAATCCTGCTTCAATTAATATTCTATGTCGGAGTAAGGAATATTGTTTATTATGAATGACACTTGGTTCAATAACCTTAATTTACACAAGTTGAACACCTCAGTAACTAAGTTTACTCTTTTGGTGCTTCTCCCTTGAGATCACTATAACTATCGCCTAGCCATAGACGTCGAACGGATTAAAGATGACTTTGACTGTAAACCAACAAAAGTACACATGTCACAACCTAAATGACTTCATCTACTGGTGGCAGATCAGCACAAACTTTACTGATACACATTAAGATTTGATTAATACATTCATTTCTAAGACTTAAATCTTAGTTCTGTTGGGTTTGTTGTATCCGATTTCTAGCTGCATGATGAATTGCAGTGAACTCTAACATCTTAAAGACCGTTTCAGCAAAGCTAGTTCTTTTGTAACTATTAAGAAAAGAGCTTTGTTCTCTTTAATAAACTGGCCAAGTTTTGCTATTTTATCTTATCTCTGATTTATCACAGCCATTCTAAATTTAGTTCTCATTCAATAACATATTTGGGATGTGATTAACTGTACACTGACTGAACTGCTCTTCACAGCATACGGACCAAATTTCCAACATCTAGTTAGAAAATATTAATGTTCTTTGATGTTGCTTTTAGTGACTGGCTTTTTTAGGTGAATCTCTTCGGCTTCTCCCACTTTCCAACTATCATATGTGGAACTGCGTTTACAATCAGTCAGAGGATTGTTTTACGAATTCTCCCCAAAATGATACTTGTTTTTAGACTAAATACATTAGGATTGCATTAGGAAAACAGTCAACAAAAACAAATCATCTAACTCACTTTTTATCATGATCCAAGTTATCAGCGTTACTTTTGCAATGATCAGTTTCCGAAACAAAATTAGCATTTGGAAATTCATTCAAAACCAAACAGTTACTATCATACTCACCAAAATTACTACTTATTCGATTATGGTTAATTCGATGTTTTCTAGAAAATCTATCACTTCTCTTTGACGGTGAATGTTTTAGAAGTTTATCATTTGAATAGGTTCCTTCCGTTTTATCACACCCTTCTTTTTTCCGATCGCTATGCTGCCAATATTTAGAGAAGGAATTAAAACCAATGTTTTTCATATTCTTTATAAATTTTAGTTGATAATTACGTGGTCTGCTGGATTTTGAAATAGCTTGAGATCTTCTAGAAATATCACTATCACGAACAATCCTGTCATAAATGGGACTGGTACTGTTAATATTGTTCGTAACACGCGGTAGTAGAGAACGATTTGAATATGATCGACTGCAAACCAGGTGTTCCAGTACCTTTCGCTGTATTACTGGTGAAATATCATCAGACTTAATTAAATAAGAGAAGAGAAACACAAAAAAACAGCATTATATGCACTGCTGGAAATTTAGAAATATAAATGTTTTGCGACTGGGGTCAGTATTAAACCCCACATTCACATAATTGTAGTTGATTATTACGTTGCACAATATGAGGTAATACATATTATCAAACAGAAATATTCCCCTAAATATCAAACATTTAAATCGAAATTACGAACTAATCAAAGACAACCAGTAGAGTCCTATAATTGAACGTAACGGTCGTCCAGTGTTTACAAGTTCTGAATGGTTGTCTGACTTTGATTAGTTCATGATTTAAATGAAGTTGGATAATCTACACGCCTCTATACTGTCAAACGTTTTCATTATTTTACAGTTATGTGCATTTTTACTAACAAATTCTCTTTATTATATTTATGTCCTTACCTTTTTTCATCAGTTGAGTCTGTTTTCCTCTGATTTTGATAATTCCAGCTATTTCGATCAATGAACTTATGTCTGAAGTTGTCGCGCTTCCATCCCACGCGAAAGAAATTTATGCACTTTCTATACCTGTTTAATATAATGGGTTTTTTTCTGAATACTAGCCGAAACACTAGATACTTTCAAAGATACATGAATATTTTTATTGGGAGTGGTTTGAGAACAATTAAAACTAGACCTTAGAATGACTTATATTTGCAGTTACAAACAGATCTGTTCATCACTTACGAATGTATGTGGATACATATTTTGACAATATGCTAACAGATTGTGGTGAACAAGATCATGCCGAGTAGTGACTGAAGTTTTTGGAAATATCCACAAGATAAAAATCCTGACAACCCTTCTAGAAAGGTGTGGTTTTCGATCATTATTTGGGAGTGTCATAAAATCCAGAAGAGTGAAAGGGTCTTTTTTTACCAAAATCATAGTAATTTTTAATCTGTTTTGTGTTATAAATCATTATTAGCTAGTTATCCCAGGTAATAAGATTTAAATAATCGTAGGTCAATTCTGAAATACGCAAACTGAATATTCTTCATTTATTTCTGTCAGTTTTGTGTTTAGTGAGTCACTAAATCTAAATCTCAATAACTCGACAGGTACGATTGAGTTCGAATACATTAGGATCATATTAAGAATTCGTACCGCTGAGCTGTCAAGTTTTAGGAGGAAACGTCCTTTCATCCGCTGATAGGAGTAAGTGGTTTTGTAAAACAAACTTCAAATGTGATGAACAAGAAAATATTTATCATATTTGAGGAGGTAAATTGAATATAACGACGGTAAATATGTATAAATTTGCAGAACTAAGGTAGAGAGTTATAGAGAAGAGATATGTAAACATATTTTATAAGCTCTGTATCATTTAGAAAATAATCATGAAAGTAACAATTAGAAATACTAAATCTTACTCCTGGTAAACGAAGCATGAAGATATCTGACGAACTAGGGAGATTACCCAACAACAGTCGATAAGATTCCTCAATTTTATCAACCAACGGAGAATAAGCGAATCCAATACAGTATGCAGACGACAGATGACGATTGTGGAACCCCAAGATTAGTTCACGTTCTCTATCTGACAGTGGTACGATATCCCGCCCATCCCAAACATCAGAACACAAGCTAGCAAGAATATCACCAGTACCTTGAGAGAGCAGTTGATAACCACTTTGTATATTTGGATCAGAGAAGACAGAGCTAAAGCAATAAGCCAAATGAATTCGGTCCTACAGTGAGTAAAAATCAAGTTCCGATAGTTAGCATTACACTATTTCGGAAATCCAACTGACTGAAATGGGTGTATCCAACCATATTCAACAGTAAAATATATTGGCCTTACATTTGTTGCACGAATTACTTAACAAAAATCATAACACGTAAAAATATGAAAGTAAAAATGTACGTTTATTGGAATATGGTTTGATCATAAACTAGTTGAGTCATCATAACGCTATTTATGAAGTAATGTACGACGATGTGCTAAAAAACCAGTTGTTTTGATTTTTTAAGTTTCCTCAACCGAAATCTTATTTCAATGGTTGGGATCATAAGTCAACTGAGGCTAGACCATCATGGAAAACCTGGAAGCACTGGGTGGCTGTTTCGTCCTGTTGTGGGACTCCTCAGCAGCACACATCCACGATTCCACCTCACGAGATCCGAACCCAGGACTTATCAGTCTCGCACGTAAGTGCTTAAGCGCTAGACTACTGAGCCGGCATCCATCGGTGTTGATGTCTAATTTCAACCAACTCACGAAATTTAGTGACACATCCGCCATTGTCTTCAGTAAGTTATTATGTCACAACAGACCCGGTTGAACTCCACTGGTCACTGCTTCTCACTAGAGCTCCAGGAAATACCTCGGCGGGGTCGTGGATGCGTACTGCTGAGGAATCCCACAATAGGATGAAACGGCCGTCAAGTGCTTCCAGGTTTTCCATGGTGGTCTAGCTTCGATTGACTAATGATCTCAAGTATTGAAATCACTATAATATCCACAAAAACACTTCTGATGAAATCTTATTGATGAATTGAGTTAACACCACACAGCATAAGAACAGAAAAAACATCAAAGTAGTAGCGGAAGTAATACCAGCATTATTGGAAAACTGAAAGAGATAAAGAAGTTTGGACGAAAGATCATGTCAAATACTTAGAGAGGAGCAAAGAAAGGATTAATCTAAGTCACCAAGGCAAATTGTCCCATGGTTCCAACGACTGATTACAGTTAACTAACGCATAATTAGGCAACATTATTTAATATAGTAAATAACTTTTAGAATAATCAACACATTAGTACTACGGTTTGGTATAAAGCTTTGCTTGAAATTAAAAAGCTACTGTAAAGTCACAAACATCGAAAACGTAGGATGAGTGGAGTGGGTTTTATGCACAATTAACAGTGACATACCGTCTCAAAAATTCAGTTAGTTAAACGACTACTTCTTAAAGGAGTATAGAAAACTAAACACTATGCAGTTGGGGGGTCTCTAAACTAGTTACGCTAGTAACCAACTTGAATCACTCAATTGTATCTATTAATTGTCATGATAAACTGAGTAGTCCGTTAAGTTAACGGTAATCATTCAGCTTTGCCGATAATCTTCATTACATTCCCTTTTTACTGTGTGATATTTTAAATGGAAAAAACTATGCGCATGCTCTTATACGGACAGTAAATTAGCCTCAAAATGTACTTAAAGAAAAGAAGATGAAAAATGAGATAACATTTAACTTGCACTATGAAGCTAGCCGGTTATAAAGAAACAAGATAACACCACAAAAAAAGTTAATGTAAACAAATAGAGTCAAACCTACATAATTTGTATTTTCTTTTGTCGGGAGAATTTCTTCGGAAGATAATTTACTTTTCACATCAGTAGCGTTAGAATTAGAAGTATATGCGGCTGAGCAAATAGAATAAGCACCCAAGCATCCATGAGTGCCAAAACCACTTAAGGCACCATCACGAAATCCTATCTGGCTAGCAAGACCACACAGACAGAAAGTAAGCGGCAGTGCAGTAATACATGACGAAGAATCGAAATATTTTTGAGTTGCATTTACTTTTTCAAAAAAGCCAATTCTCTGTTTCGCAATAGCAGAGTGACAATTGTTGAGAAGAATCGATAAACCGATTGGTTTAAGCGATGAAAGGAAACGATCCCAGCGCGGCCTTTCGAAATGCGATAAAAAGGGTCGATAAAAATCGGTTCGTAAGTCTAGAACTACCGGTGCAATACAACTGCTCAGTGGGAACACAGCACTTCGTTGAAAACCAGGTGTATCATTAGGATCACAGTTAGTGGGTAGCTGATTTTGGATGGGACTTTGAGTCTTGCAAAGTTCTCCTTGATTAAGTCCAACACACTACGAATTTGAATAGAAATCGAATATAACCGAGTTTTGAAATAAATGATTTATTCCATCAATATACAGAGTAATTTTGATTTGGGAATCCCTTTACACATTAAACCAAAAATACGTTTATTCATGGTGGTAAAATGATTGCTTACGTCCAATAAATTTCCGCAACAATTATTTTTTAAAATAAATTCACACTGAGGTTTTATTTAAAATAGACATTTCATTTGTAAAAATATTAACCGTAATTTAAACAAGGTTTGATGAGCGAATCGTAAATCTAGGGGAATAGTTAAGTATAAAACAAATTCACTTTTATCGCTTTCGGACTGTCAGAAGTTGTTCAATTGATTTTAACACCTGGCTCAAACCACTTCCAAAACTTAATAATTCACTGACTTTTAGGAAGAGGTAAAATAATTCAAACCTGGAAACAATACAAAGCATTTTATATATTTGCAATGATGGAAACTGAGGCTGTGAGAAAGACCATGCACTTCAAATTAAAGCAAAATACCTATAAATAAGCACTTTAAAACAGCATTTTGAGTATTTTCCAATACATCTGAAAAATATATCTTGATTTCCACTGAATAGGATATTTGATACTAGCCTGCGAGAGTTAGATCTTTTACTCCATAAATCCACCAACTACCTACGAAAAAACGAAAATCGGATCGATTGCACAAATGATTGTTAATTAACATATCTGTTTACGAGTTTCTCTGGAGTTCGAAACGACTATTAAATTGGTGGAAAGACAGCAAGGCATTCAGCTGAATAGTTCTAGATTAGTAAAAACAAGTCTCCCAACAGAAAAATGAGACAAATTGTTTAGACGTTATATAATTAGTGAAAGTGTTCACTTTCTACTAGGTTTGAAAATCGCACTGTCATTTGAGGAAGTTCAATGACTGTAACGGGCCAAAATTTTGAATGTAATACATCTTATCCATTACATCGCTAGTGGTGAATTAAAAATGACGAATAATCTCATAGAATTTACCTGATAATGAGGATAATACGCTAACATTTCACCATATTACTATTATATTTCGCTAATTTTAGGTGGTTATTTAAACCCATCATCATAGATTTTTAGACACTGATAACAAATAATACCCGGGATTGGTAAATTAGTTCATGGAAGTAACAATCTAAGAGAATATATTAGGGATTCTTTTTCTCTACTGGAGGAATCTACATAGTACAACCAGTAAATCTATCCACAAAAAATGAATATTAAAAAGCAGTTACATAGACGATTGGTCAACAGATTCTTTATGCATGGACAAAAAATTAGGTTGCTGATACTTTAAATAAGAGTAATGCTTAAAGAGGACTAAGCAATTGATAAGAGTGCCAACCTATCTAAACTAAGAAGCATGAACCATTATGTTTGAGATGCTTCTTCGGGAAATACATAGTGCTGAGTGGTGAAGATAGACGACAGGTCAAATGAGCATATTAAAATATGATTTCAATTCATGAAGTCACTGGGTTTCGGTCTGAGCTATATCGGAAGAAGCAAGCTTAGTTGTTAGTATCTCCTTAAGATTGGAAACTAGCGACCGAAACACATAGATGAAGTCACTATACCATCACTTTTTGTCTGTTCATTATACCTTTTTCCTACATTTCCTCTTTTGAACAGTTGAAAGCAGTGGCAAGCTAAAACAACATACGTCCACAACCCCGTACTGCACATGTGTAGAAATAACACAATTTCTGAAACAATTATAAAGTAGCTCTACACTAGAACGTAGACTTCCTGTGATTTCTGGTCATTTGAAGTTATTTTAATGGTTTGAAAGTCAAACGAGATAAATGGTTCCATAGTTAATCTTTGATTATCTTTCTGAACTATTATTGCTACAAGCTTCGGACAGAAGTTGCTTAAAAAGCAAAAGTTACTTGTTTTTTTGTGCGCAGAAAACCCGACGTGTTTAGTTGGCCTGATTTAGAATTTTGATGATCCAAACGTTCTTCCGCTTTTGAGTTTGATTTATAGACATTTTGAGACTTGTTTGTACCAAAACTCTCCTGATGGTGATGATTGTGATGGCGTCTGTGGAAGAAAAACATTTTCTCTGGAGTTGGTAACGACTGACTTATAACACCTTCTTGGTTGATACAACACACGGAACTTAGTGTTCCCAAAGTAAGTACAATATTTTCCATATCTACGTTCGTCTGAAAGTAAAACTATGATTACAACACGTTTAAATAAGCCACCGTAGAATGATGTAAATAATGTATTGAGAAAACATTTCGTAGATAAATAGAATGCAATAGTAATAGTAGTTGTAAGCAACAAGACATGTAGTATAGAATTATCACGTAATTTACCTTTACATTTATCAAGTTACTTCCAATACACTTCATTTTTTCAGGTTCATTCGATGTAACAAAGTGGAAAGCCCCTCCTAGTAATCCTGTTACACCGTAAAGTTAGGAACGAACTATGAGTTATTATTGAAGTTAAAATGTTAATAGATATATGTAGTATGTATCTCGCTATGGATTAATCGATGACGACATAAACTGAAATCAGAAAACTTGAGTGCATTTGGTACGCAAACTGACTACTTAAACACGGTTTTGTGTAGAATTGGCTCCCTAGTTTCTTCTCCAAATTAAAGAATGACTAATAAGGCTTATTCCACTAATTAAGACAATAGAGCAGTACAATTTACGTCAAAAATAAAGTACCTTCACAGTTAAAAGATTCTACATTATTAAGCTTGTTCACTTTGCTCTATTTAAAATTGAGTTTACGCATTTCTCAGAAAACAGCAGTTTTTTGTCGTCATTAAGACTTAAAATAACCGATACTCCTTTGCAACTTCTAAACGTCATAGATCTTCAAAATATTACAAAATATTACACAATCCCATTTTGATAGGTTGGATAATTTGTGTACACAGGTAGTTAAATAGTTCAAAAACAGTTACTGTACCGTTGATACATCCATTCATCCCGTACCAATATTTACGTTTAGAACATGATGCTAATTCGAACTTTGAATGAGTTCTCAACTGTTTTTCTTTTATTTTTATCCCTACTGTAGGTCTTTATCACCATACTTACCATGCTGGTTTGACGAGTTGAACTGATAAATAATTCATCGATTCTGATCAAAAGCGATAGTGACTAATGTAGTGGGTTGTGAGGAAGGTCAGAGCGACCAAATCAAAACGTAATATCAACTCATGAGATTATTAGCTCCTAGACTGAGTTGTATTTGTATGTGTAGACTACCTAATTTAGAGTCGGCTTGATTATTGTAATCAATCGGTGGAGACCTGATGTGATATGGCTTAAAATTGCTCACAATGATGCAGACCCATTTACTTTTTATTTTCTCTGGGATTCTGACGCTAAAAATCGTCTTATGCGACTATCTTTAATTTTCTCTACTACAACTGGAGATAATACCATTTATAATATTCCAGCAACTTTTGATAATATATACTCGTTGTGAATATACATAACAACTTGAACAAACGTACATATCGCAATTTCTACGTTACACATAAATGACTGAATAATTTCTGACTGTTATATATACCAAATATTGTTATCTAAGAACTATAAAATAAATGCTACACTCAAGTATAACTCTTGAACATCACTGACAGCCGCAGAATTCTCTGTTGATTCAACACAATCTTGTGTAAATCGTTAAAATACCGTATAACCTTTGAATTTAGGTCTCGTTAGTCATTAGTTAACAGAAAAGTATACATACAGGGCACCTTAAGTTCATCAGCTATAAATCACTGAAAAGTAATGATAAGAGAAAACAAAAACTGATCTTTTAGAGAGCCAACTTCTACTCTGCGGAGCAAACGAAAAAAAAACGATCATTTACAGACCACAGGGTAAACTCTTGGTAAATACATAAACAAGCTTAATCTTACTTACCATAAAGCCAAAGTAGCGAAGATTGGAGATAAACGAGTGAAAAGTTAACGTGTTTGATTTGGAAGCCTTAGACATGTTGGGTTGGAAAAATACATGTGGAGATTTGAAGTCATTGCCATCAATAAGTTTAAAATGATCCTGAGAGTTAGAAAGAACATTCTGGAAGTGGAATGTGACAACAGCAGTGGCGATCATCCATATGAAATACAATGAGAAGCTCGAAGAAGCAATAACAATACCAAGAGTGTGGGCAAACCAGATTAGCAAGCGATAAAACTGATGACTAAGATCACCAATAGGTAATGCGCAAATAAATATTGAAGTTAGAAAAATGAAAGTTATAGAACACTTGATAATTAAAGAAACCCAAACTGCAGTATTCACAACTTTATAAGCAAGCGGTTGAAACGTATAACCATTTTCAACTCTTGATCTAGAAGCGATATCAAGGTAAGAAGCCAAAGGAGAATGGATGACAACGGCTACCACAGACTCATCTGATTTTTGAATGGATGTAAACGAGGTGGATATCAGATTACAACTGAGTTTCTGAGGGACATAAACATCACCTGGAAAGTAAATGTGATTCTAGTTCAGATGTCGAAAATTAAAAATGTAAATACCCTTACTTCATTTATTTGTTTGCAGAAAGCGAAGATTGTCTGACCTGGTTTAATAATAATAACATCACCTGGAACAAGTAAAACAGCAGGCAAGACCACGATTTTTCCATCTCGGATAGTAAGGTGGGTATCCAAACCAACCATCTCATTTAAAAGTCCATTTAGACATGGTGAATATGAAAGCATATTCGGCTTCAAATTTCCTACAAACAATTAGAAACAACATACTTACTAAGACAAGTGACGGAAGATCTTAAGAATGTCTTAAACTTTGTACAAGATGAAATCATCCTTTTATAACGCGTTAAGAACGTTAAGAACAAAAGGCTACTTGACAAGAGGACAAAGAGCAAATCCCCAGCAATCGATATCCAGGAGTAGCTAGAAATATTTGACCAGTCAAACAAACTAGTTTATAGGACATAAAGTACCTGGAGGAATATCTGTATGAAGCAACAGAACATGATATAAGAATAAGTGACATTATGCTCAACATAAGAGACAATATATCCGAACGAGACCAACGCAGCAATACAATACCACTTATTGGTCTTTCACTTAACGTTTCCAACATTTCGCAAAATAGTTCCAAAGCCACTGGAGTTTCTAGACCCTGACTCATTGTAAAACTGTAAGCATAATCTCCTCGACAAACAAGGCATAACAATAATCTTCCCAAATCAACCTTGAGAGATTAAATCTTGCTCAGACACACAAACAGTTTAAAAACTGATTCCGTTCAATGATGGCGTGCTACAGTAAACAGGTACTCCAATGCTAAGAAAATTGAACTCCGAGGATTCCATAATTTTCACAGTGGTAAATGAGTAATCGCCCACTGTTATACAATTCAAAGATTAATCACACGAGTTTTTCCATAGTTTTATAAAGGAAAAGCCACATCTAATACTTAATGCACTTTGTCAGTATTCATTATATGTACATGACTCCTAAAATGAAACTGATATGTACCTGAATGTGGAATTCCCATGCAACCACCAATAATAATATATATTACTTGTTACCATGTTCAATTAATGTATAAATTGGTCATATTTGTATCAATAAAAAATTCAGATGGACAATCGAAGACGTGAAAACAAACAGAGGTACTAACGTAGCTTCAGATCACCAACTGGTTGTGTTCAAGATGTAACTGAAGCTAGAGAAACACTGAACAGCTGGGGAAACTGCAGTACAAAGGTTCTATACATCACTTCTTCGAGATACTGACAAACCCAGACAATTCAAGATAACTTTCAGCAACAGGTTCCAAGCTTTACAATATCTACTGGAAGAAAATGAGACTACCACGGAAGAAAAATGGAAAGAGATCAAAAAATCACACATTTTGACGTATCAGGAGGTGTTCGGCCGGAATAAGCTTCATCACAATGAATAGATCTCTATGGAAACCCCGGACAAAATTCAATAAAGGAATGATTAGGAACAGCCGAACAAGAACAGAGGAAGTTGACGCACAGGCTGGATACACAGAAGCAAACAAGCAAGTGAAGAAGAGTATTAGGGATGACAAGTAGAAATATGTGGTAGACCCAACAAGGACAGTGGATAAAGCTGCAAGAGAAGGAAATATCAGACAACTATATGGCACGACGAAGAAACTGGTAGGGAAACACAATAAACCAGAGAGACAGGTCAGTGACAAAGAAGGCAAGTCAATCACTGAAATTTCAAGAACTGGAGAACAGATGCGTAGAACACTTTGAGGAACTCTTGAATAGGTCAGCTCCATTGAATCCGCTAGGCATCAAAGCAGCACCTACAGACCTTCCTTTAGATGTCACTTCACCAACAATCGAAGAAATCAGGACGACCATCAGGCAAACCAAGTATGGAAAAGCATCAAGACCTGACAATTCACCAGCCGAAGCACTAAGGTCAGACATAGAAGTAACTGCAAACATTCTCCACATTCTATCGAGGAAAATTTGGGGGGAAGATCAAGTGCTGACGGACTGGAAATAAGGATGTCTCATCCAGATACCAAAGAAAGGAGATCTGAGCAAGTGTGAAAACTGAAAAGATACTACACTACTGTCGATACCGGTGCAAGCTTCCGACATAGTGTTGCTGAACCGGGTGAAAGATCCAGTGGACGTCGAGCTTCGAGGTCGACAGGTCGGAATCCGTAAAGATCGGTCGTGCACAGACCAGATCGCGACACTACAGATCATCGCTGAACAATCAATTGGATGGAATTCATCACTATACGTCAACATCATTGGCTATGGGAAGGCGTTTGACAGTGTGGATAGGAAGAACTTATGATAGTTTTCTTTGACACTATGGTGTGCATAGGAAGTGGTGCAGCGGCAGTTTCTGCATCAGTAGGCCTTAACGTGCACAAAAGATTAAGCCATATCCTGATAGACTTTCAGGTACATGGACAACATCATCGATGGGTGTTAAGAATTGGCAAAGCAAGAGCCGCATTCCCACAACTGAAGAACGTATGGAACTGCAAACGGCTGTCGGTCGACATCAGAGTGAGAATCATCAATACAAACGTCATGACAGTTATATTATACGGAGCTGAGACTTGTAGAACTACTACAATCAGCATCAAAAACGTACAAGTATTTATAAACAATTATCTACGCAAGGTACTAAGTGCCCATTGTCCGGGTATCATCTTCAACAGTCTACCTTGGGAACAAACCAGCTTCCAGGTGAAGTGTAAATTAAGAAAATACGTTGAAAGTGGATAAGATGTATATTTAGTAAATCATCCAACTGCATCACGAGGCGAGCCATATTTGGAATCCTGAAGGGGACCGAAGAAGTGGGAGGCTGAAGAATACTGAATCAGTAATTAGAAGCAAACACAATAAGGATGAATAGCAAATGGAGAAAATCGGAAGGGATTGCCCAAGACATATTTGGATGGGGATTGGTGATGGGCAGCCTATGATCCTCCCCTCGAGGATTAACAGGTCTAAGTAATAAGTAAGTAAAATTTACGTTCAATGTCATGGGAACCCAAAAGGCGGGTAAGCATGTATGTCTGCACATGCACAAGATATTCATACTCCGTTGAATGTCAGACTACTCCAGACAGTTAAAGGACTATCGGTGCCCTGTATGCCTTATTAAGTGACAGCAGAGTTTTCAAAAGCTTCGAACCTTTTAATGAACCGTGTAAAATGCAATCCGTGACCTTCACCATAAAAGGAAAATCGGAAAATTACCTGAAGTTCTAAGCTTCCGTCTTCTTATCCGTTTTTGGTATATCCACAACTACATAGCTCTTCTTGTCAAGTAGTTTGTTCCTAACAATTAAACGCTTTAAGAAAGTACCAAAAATCAGCCATAGGTGATATAGGGATTTCAGTTTGACTTTGGATCAGATTCATTATAACCCTGAAGATGTTTTGTGGTATTCAGTGCTTCATAATCTTTATATTTAAAAGTTGCTTAAAATTCACGACACTTTTCTCATCAATGAATAAGTTGTAATAGCTGTTAAGAGGAACTAGTATATTTGGCTATTCTTAACTGCATCGAAATTCTGCATCCAGGTACATACCAGTCTCATCTTAAGAATCATGTACGTTTAATGAATACTGGTTTAATATTGTCATATCGTAACTAGGATTAAATTATGTGTAACTTCTGGGAATGATTTATGAACTGCTATAATGTGTTATATCCCAGTGAGAATTATGAATGGTAACTTTTGAGAACTATGTATGGACAAATATTATATGTATATTCTTAATGTATAACTATTCAGTAGCTAGATTGTGTTTATTTGTACTCCTCTTATTGCAAGCATTATTTTGACCGATAAATTATTATTATACTATTTATCGTTCTTGAGTTACTCCCAGATTATTAATTACAGTCTCCCACATTCATAGCCAATTTTGGCTAGATCTTGTACAAATGTTATTTTATATTATTTGGTACGACGCGTTCTGTTTTGTTCGTATATAAACCCAGTATGTTTCAAATATATAGCTCATGTCACAGAGGCTGAGATTAGTGTTCTGAACTTACCAGACAGGGCTAGACACGAAGAAGGGCCGATAAAAACTGTAGGCTATTCATTCAAGTTTTATGCATTATTTGTTCAGTCGATAATTCACTGTTCTCCAGTTGGTAGTACCACTACGTCGTATATTAACAAGGCACATAGCCACACGTTATAACAATATGTATACTCTTATTATATAGCTGTTAGGTGCCTAGATTGAATATATTTATATTATTTTTATTATAAGCTTTTATTTGACTAATCGACTACTACTACATGATTTACTGTTCCTAAGTTATTCCCAATTTATTAGTTTCAGTCTCACAATGACAGCCACGTTTTGGTGTAATCTTGTATAATTTTTATTTTTTATTTTATGGTATGATTTGATCTGGTTTGCTTATATATAAACCAAGTATGTCTGAAATATATGATTCAAGATTTTAGCTGCAAGGAGAGTCTGTAAGAATGTACCTCGACTAGGCTACTTAGTTTTCCTTGGCTCTGAAGTAGATGATAAGTTTTGCCTTGTCTATTCTAGGACAAAAATGCTTAGTAAAAAAAATTTCACAACTCACGAGCTCAGACTGAGAATAATTCAAGCACATTTTTATTCTGTCACTCTAGTGTTCAATTTCATGAAGAGTGGTTTGTAAAGGTAATGAACCACTTAATAAAAAATAATTAGTAACCATCCATAAATATATACTATTAGTAACTAATTCAACATGTAACCTTGATGGTATTTACGCAGTTTATATAAGAAAGCATTTCCTTATATCCAGAGGCACATTTGAAGCTTGTACAAAGCTTTTAATCGCACATAATATTCCTGAGAATACGATATAAATAAACGAGTTGGAAAGTTGAGGACAGCAAAGACGTCCGAAACACATTGTTATTATTAATATTCAATACAAGTCTTTAGTCGGCCGAATATTTTCAGCTTTCCTGTAACGAATCGCGCGAAATCTAAACGTCGTAACATTTTTTCAAGTGGTTTAGATATTTCTTGACTTATTCATTTGTAGGGTATATTATACTGAGACTATCATACTACCTCGTATTTCTGGTACATTTTTACACCTGAAAAAGTAAGTTACAAGGAAACTCATCAATTTATATATACTTATCAAAGACCTATCCTACATCTTTGATATAATTCCGTATCGGCTGTCATTGACACGATTTAATCTCTTATTACACTGTTTGTAATGTAGATATTTCAGTTGTTTCTTAACACACTTAGTAGCTGAACTCCTTGTCTTCAAATCACATTCTATATTCACAGTCACTCATTCTAGTTTTTACCCATTTAATACTTAACAATAAGTGTATACTCAGATATTCTATCTGGTTAAACGGTGTCTCTACCCACCCAACTTTGAAATATGACCAGTAGCTTCAGTAAAACACAAATATCACCAGCTTCTAAAAAACCAAAATGTCGAAGTCTGTGATTCTTATGTTAGACTATTGAGTATCTGATAATGCCAAACATTCATCGCCTGGACTTTACGCGTCTTATCGGAAAATATCACTGTCACTGTTTGAACGCACGTATGACAACCCCTCTGCCTCCCCACGCAATATATTAACGGTACATCTGTTTAACATAAAAGGTACAGTACCTTTGTACACCAAAATGTCAACACAGTGTAACCGTCAGTAGTATTTGCTGAGGCCGAAATCCAAAGTTTCAAAGGTCATA